CCACACAAACCCGTAGCTGAAGTTCATGCATCTCTTGCCTATGGAAAGCACCGACGGTGTGTCATCCAACACATAAGCGTTGATCGGTTCCTCGAACGACTCAGTCTGGAAGTTCGACACAAGATCGGTATCGGTGATTCCATTTGCTGTCTGAAATGATATGGGCTCTGGAGTCACGAGTGTCTCGAGACTGTGCTTCTCGATCTTCTTCTGAGATATGAGGTCATGGCCACATCCAGTGTCCATGAGAAACTTGATCTTCTTCTTGAGGATGACTGGTTGAACCATGCATTTGAACACGCCTTGATTGATGATCCGCTTGCTGTGCGCAGCGTCGAGCTCACGTTCCACGATGGAATCCTCACCGTCGTAGAAGGAAACCTCTTCCACCCTAGACGTTCCTGCGATCCGTACGAATGAAACTCGATCTCCGCATTGATCATCATCGTCGTCAACCATGTCTCTCATGATCTGTGCCCTCAATCTCGCTTTGTGCTTAGCGAATTTCCAAAGTCACGGCGCGATCCTCATCGTTGACAAGTGCTTCCATGTCGACGTACTTCACCTTCCGTTCTTTGTCCTTCTTCGATTTTCTAGGACACGAAGAAGTGAACTTCACGTCGCCAGCGAATGTCACGTTGCGCTTGATCTCTTTTCGGGTCGACGTAGTCGGTCCCGAGGATTCGTCGTCGGTTGAACAATCCGAGTCAGCGTCGCTGTCAGCGGATGGACAATCTGACTCTTCCTCATCTTGTCTTGAAGATCGCTTCCATATAGCCGGGGCTGATGGATTCCACCTTCGGCACAATCTAATGGCGGGTGCCGCAGGGAGTGCCTTGGCCTTAGCATTCGGTTTCGCTGGAGCTGCCTTTGCTTCGGATTTGGCTTTGGCTTTCGCCTTTGGTTCCGGAGCTGGGGTAGCTGCGGCCTCATGCTTGAAAGGACAATTCTCTCTTGAGCACGAGCCTGTGTTCTTGAAAGAGTAGCATATCCTATTTCCTCCTCCTCCAGATGGACTTGGAGTTCTCGTCCTCGGCGTAAAGGGTCGCTCTGGAGTCTTCTTCGAGTGACTGAATGGGCACTTGTCACCATTTCGACACCCTGCATCTGTGAAATGGAACTTGCAGCGGATTTGCTTCTTGCTCTTGTCGCCTCTGTTGTCCGCCGACTCACTCCTCGTCTTCTTCTTGGGCTTTGGCTTGGTCTTCGCATGACTCTTCGCTTTGCTCTGAGGTAGTACAGGTGTTGCTTTATCCGGCTTGGTAGGCGAAGCTTTGACCTTTGCGGATGGAGCTGCATTAGGCGTTGGTTTCTCAGGTACCTTGGCCGGCGCAGCGAGCAAATCCTTGCCCTCAAGCATCTGGCGCAAACCAATTTGGGTCTGAGTGAGATTTGATTGTTCTCGTCTCCGCATGATGGTACGATCGATGATCTTCATCAGATTGTCGTACGATCGGTCTTCATGATTGTAGGGCAAGTGGTCGTAGTGCATGCCCAAATCCATCTTCATTGCGGGCGAGTCCTTGATCTTGCTGTGCAAGCAATCACGGAGAGCTGTTTTGGATGGTATGTCTTCTGGTCTCATCCGTCCAAGAACTTCCAACCACGTCTGCTTGAACGTATGAAGTTTGTTGTCGCCTTGGTACTGGAGCTTCACCAGATACTCGAGAGTGATGATCATGTCGAGACGGTCATGCGTTCGAAAACTTTCATACATCATCGCAATGATTTGTCGTCCTTTGATGATCTTCCCTTCGGGCCTGCTGATGTAGTCGTTGGCCTTCCGGTTCACCTCCAGATACAGATCAGCGGATTTGTCACCACCAGCGCGTAGCATTGCGACCATGGAGACCCCCAATTTGACGTCTATGCTCTTGAACTTCTTGTGTCCTGAATCGTTCAGTGCTTCGACATGGGAATGGATTGAACGCTGGTGCCAACCATAACATCCAGTCCTCATGATTTGGGTCGGCTGATGCTCCTAGGACATTCGCCGTGCATACGGATCGCCAGTTGTTCAGGTGAGTGAGAACAGGCCATGGAGGGACTGTCACTTTATCGGCCTCTCTCCTGGAAATTCTCACCTCCGTGACTTCAGGATCTGCGTCTCCGTCAGGATCACGCGCATGAGGGTCAGGATCCGGTTCAGGTTTGCCTCCACCGTTCCTCTTCTTATCATCATCATCATCATTAGGCGGATCTGGAGGGTCATACCCCGTGCCGGCCCCTTCATCTTGCTCTCCCTCTTCGTTCTCGTCGCCAGCTTCATCACCGTCATCGTCTCCATTGTCTTCCTGAATCGTTTCAGCGAATAATCTCCACTCGTCACGATCAGCTCTGAGACGCTGTTCGGCTTTCTGGGCCTTGAGTACTTCGCTTCGCAGATCAGCAATCTTCTCTTCGTACTGTTCCGCGACCTCTTTCTCGATCTGACGTCTCCTTGCCTCATGGATGGAAGCATCGTAGGTGACAGGGGCACCATTGGGGTCGTTGCCCCTCATAGATGCGATAATGCCGTCGATACCAACAGGTCTTGAGGAGCTGGCAGATGCTGTGGACTTCGATCCCAACATCCCGCGATCCTCCAAGAGTTCACGTAGCTGTCGGTCACGCACGGCTGCCGCATCACTTTGCCCATGAAATCCGCTTGGTATGCCAAACAGAGTGGCTGCACTGGGCGTGGAACGCGCATGTGCTGGACTGCTAATGCCTGGCACGTAGTGCTCGGGCATTGCATCCGCCACGATTGGCGTTGCGTAGGATTTATTTACCTCACCTTTGATGTTGCCAGTGAAGAAGTTTCCACCGGTAAATGGGATGCCATCCATCGCAATGTTCTTGTCCTTGTCCGATTCTGAGAATGCGAACTTCTCTTTGGCGACTGGACTAATTTGACTTGGGGACCGTATTTCAGGGGATCGCACCTCACCTCCTACGGAAAATGTAGGCACTACTTCCTTTCCTACGTGCTCCCAGCCAGACTCAGTAGTCCTCGAAGACATGGGCATGCTCGAAGGCCGTGTCACTCCGCCATGGTAGTTGGAGTTCCGTGCTGCCTCCAATTCGCTGCGTGTCCTCGCTTGAAGATCTTCTTGTGCTTTGAGCGTTTTCCTGAGTTCGCTCAGCTCGTCGTGCAAGGTGGGCAATGCGCGCCTTGCATGATCCTCATTCTGATGAAGTCGGTCCTCTGCATCTTGCATCCTCCTCACAGCCATTTTGCGGTACTCTTCCTCCTCACCAAGACGTTCGCGAAGCCGAAGTCGTTCTTGATCAATGGCTGCGCTGTTTCCAGCTAGCCCTTGAATCTCGTTTACGGCCCGCAACTCCTGATTCCTGACCAGGTGGAATCGTTCCTGCATCGCTTGTAAGGCTTGTTCTGAACTTGCTGTGTTCGACCGGAGGAACAAGTTCTCTCTGGCTTGTTCATGAAGTTCATGAGTCAGATGCTCATACTCACGTGCCATAAGCTCACCATCGCCTTGCGCTCTTGCCTCCAACTGCACAAAGTTAGTGGCTGCTTCCGTTCGGAACACATGTAACTGCTGAGCCAATTCCTCGGCAACGGCGTGTGCTTGACGTTGTTGAGCAGAGTTCTGTTCATCCATGCGAAACAAAGCTGTTTCATAGTCTCGCTTCATCTCCTGATTGACATTGTTGATGTGCCTCATGGCTAAGCATGCATGGTCACGTTGTCGTTCCAATTCTTCGATGCGAATCCCAGATCCTTCATCTTCTTGCTGCATCTCCTTGATCTTCTCCATCAGGGTCTGAACAACACCTTCGTACTCCTGCACCTGACTTCGATAGTACATCTGCTGTGCAAGATTCGATGCTTCAAATTGTTGCGGAATTGTCAATCCCTGGTAGGCATTCGGACCATCGGCTATGGCTGGTGTAGTCACTGACGAAGCGTCACCCCGTGCAGGGATTGTGTCCAGAGTCATATCCAGATCGTCAGCTTCGCGTGGTTGATTGGTAACCATTCGATTCCACGTCATGGACTTGTCACGTCCACGAGTGGCCGAAGTCCTTGATCGTGCTGAAGAGCTTCTTGAAGATGATGGTCGCGGCTTCTTTTCCAAAGTCTTCACTCCCTTGTCCTTTGCCCTCGACGGGGTCCGAGGTGCCTGAAAACCAGACGCTTCGGATCGTCGTTCTGGAGCCTTGCTCGTCCTCGAACCTGTGGATGTTGGACGCGAAGGCGTGGATGCTCTTGGTAGACTCTTTGCTTTCGCTTTGGGAACTGCCTTTGCAATGGCAAGCGCAGAAGATTGACCTTTGTCATCTTCCGTGGAGCTATCAACGGATTGCACCACTGTGTCATCAGCTGTTGACTCACCAACGGCTGGCGCTGCCACATCGGCACCGAAAGTCATTGTCGTATCTTGGCTTGATCCCGAGTTCATTGTGGTCGTAGTAGATCAAGTAGTCTTTGCTGCAGAAAGGCAGAGCCGCGTACGGCTGATAACCTGCGTGGGGATTTGATCCTGGTAATGTTCTGTATCGCTCACCCCACAAAGAGCTGTATTGACTGTTGGCGTGGTTGCCTTCTACAAGCTGGATCACCGTTACTTCCACTTCCACACACGCACTCCTATGCAGGCAGATCCAACGTTCGCTCGTTTTGCACACTCACGGCCGGCGGTGGATCGTCTGTGCACGGGATAGCTCTGTCTACTCGGAGGATCACAAAAGATTATAGCACTTTAGCTATGGGCAATGCTTTCTAGAGCTTGTGCTCATTCTTGAGCCAAACGTTGCATGGGCGGTCATACTGAAAGGATGGATAGGCATTGCGGTGTGCGTAGCACTACCACAAGCCTACTCCCAGAGACGAGGGACGCGTGGCGTGCCCCCTTCCCTTGCACTTTACACGGTCTTGCTCACAGCTCTTATAGTGACACCTTAGAACTTGACAAGGCATCGCAGTCCGTTCGCAGTATATGTACACGTCTTTTTTTTTCGACGCTCACTCTGGGACTGTGCCAGGGCCGAGCAGCAGTTTAGCACCTTGTCCACAAGGTGGACGGGTTTCTGGAAGGCGCCTGGCGCACTCTGCACCGCACATATAAGGCCCCCCAAAAAGCACATAAGCAAAGATAAGACTAGGGATATCTCATATAAATCCCCTTATAATGAAGCCCAATAAGGTAGGGATATCTCTACCAAAATGCTTATGCTTATGTGCTTTTGGGGACCCTAAACATATTGTATATTGTAAGGGCCTTAATAATTAGAATAAGGTCTTGGGGCCCAGTATACTATAAATAGAATAAGGAAAAACAATGTAGGTAATTATTAAGGCCCCTATAGTAATATAGGAAGTCGGGTCAGCCTCTCGTGATTTTTGCCATGCTGACTCTCGGGAAAGTGCTAAGACTCGAAGAGATCCGAGGGTGGCAAGAGGTCATACTTGATTTGGGAAGTGGCCTTCATCTGCGAAGCTATCATGCCCTCATATCCCTCGTCTGCCTGAGCATTCTGCGCACCACGACAAAATACTACTAATGCTAATACTAATACTAATTCTAATGCTTTTTAGAGCACGGACTTGGAGTGTATGCCAGCAGCACTAATTCTAATGCTAAAACTAATTAATACTATTACTAATACTAATACCGATACTAATACTACAAATAATCATGACCATCATCATCATTATGGTATTATAATGGTAAGACCTTTTATATCACAGAGTATGCGAACTTCCTAGCAGCGGGGACCGGCCTCTTTCTTCGAGGTTTTGTGGCGGCACACCGGCCCAGAGCATGGACAAGGCGTCCTCCACAGAGGCTGCTGCAATATGGGGCGTGAATACTTAGAATGGGGTTCCCTTTAGGGGGTTGGTTCCTCAAGGGGGATCTATAAAGTAGGGGAGTATGGGGGCCTTAGTAACTAGAACAGGGTTTTGGGGCCCATCATACTATAAGTATACTACGGAAGCCGCACAATAGTATAGGTAATTATTAAGGCCCCTATATTAGATGTCTTCTTCTCTGTGTTGTAGTAGATTGGGGCTCTGAAACGCTGGAGCGCAAGTTTAACATTTCCGAAGTGAGCGCTGAATTTGAGATGTCCATGTTTCTGCAGTCTGCTGGAACTGTTTTCATAAGCTTGTCAGAACCAGAAGCATCATGGTCTGAATCCTGTGCGTAGCCACACTTCAATGTAGAGCAGCATTATGCGGACTGTCAATACGATGCGGGGACAAGCCCTGTCCTCACGGGTCGGGCCACCGGCAAATAGCGGCACGTAGTTGAAGCTCAAAGCCAGGAGGCCATCCCTGCTAGTCTCGGAACAGGCACCGTTCCTTTAGCTTGCAATCCTGTCTGCGCTGCTTCGTGGAAGGACGGTGGCATGCATAGATGCAGGCAAACATGCACCCGTACACTCGCCCGGGCAGGCGTGCACAAAAAGGTGGATGGATGTCTTGACACTGTAGACTGAACAAACGTGCCACTATGTGCCCTAAACCAGAGCAGCTCAGACCAAGTCTAGAACCAAAACCCTGAGAGCCCGCGGGTCCCCCCCTTTTAAAGCCCTTTTAGCACCTTTACGGTTCGTTTGAGTTCCGGACGGAGCCTTTCTGGTGGAAAGAGGCGACGCCACCTGCCACACGAAGGACAGCTTCAGAGAATAAGGTGAATCCAAGAAAGAAGGCAACAAATTGTGGGATCCGCAGTATTCGCTCCCGGCTGTTCATACTATGGGAGTCTTCGCAAAAAGGAGACCCTAATGTAGTACCTAAATGGTAGGATCATCATTAAAAGGATCCCAAAATGAGGTACCCCCTAATTTTGGGAAACCGCCATATAGCTCCCTATAAACCCAGAGCCCACCCTGCCGGCTCCGACGCAGCCGGCGTAAAAAATCCCGGGTGCTAAAGAACCCTACACTATGGTACCCTTATAGATCCCTTATAGTAACCCTTATATAGACCCCTTTAAAGGAACCCCTACTCTAATTATTAAGAACCCCCCCTGCCAGTTCCAGGTGGTAGTTTCCGAGAATAGGGGACCCTAGTATAGTACCCTAAAGAGTAGGATCCTTATTATAACGACCCCAAAATAAGAGGACCTCCTAATTTTCGGAAACTCCCAGGGGTGCCTGCGAGAGTGTGCCTCCACATCAAAGCGTCGGACGAGGGGCCGATCCTGAGAAGGAGAAAGTCTGAGGGTTCAGGGGTGTTTCCGAAAATTAGGGGGTACACTTATTTTGGGGTCCTTATAATAAGGATCCTACTTGTTAGAGTACTATTTCGGACACCCCCATAGGGGATTAGGGTTAGTGCTGACAGGGAGGTGGGGCGCAGGGTTTCGGGACTCAAGTTCATAATGGCTGCTCAGGTGCTTAGGGCTTCGACTAACAACGATAAGGAATGTTGGAACGACCGCGACCAAGGAGTCGGAATTTGGGATTGCTTTTTGGGGAAAAGAGGCTCTGGGTGTGGGAAAGATATAGTATTTCCAATTTCAATTCAAGCATCGAATCTGGGCCGGGGTACGGTAGATTCCATCGCTGTGCTTCTATCTACAAGACAGCCTTTGGGGTTGGGGAGAAGCGCAAGGCCTGCCGTCCAGCTTGGTGCTCACATGGAACCCAATGCACGAAACTTCAATGAGATCCATTTGCGTGCTACGGCTAGTGGATTGAATCTAATCTGTGTGTTCCTGGGCAGTTGCGGAGGTCTGCTGCTGTCTCGGAAGCCCCGAAACATGTCCCTCCCTCTTTCCAACCTCACTGGCAAGACGATGCTGAGTCACGGCGAACAAGATCTGTGCGGAGAACGGTTGAAGGTCTTGCTACAAGTGGCATGGCGCCTCCGGTCTCATCTCCAAGCCCAAAGAGGCCGCCTTCTCTGACACAACCTGCGATTAATCCAGACCACATCTACGTGCACATACAGTCGAGGCACTGCCGAAAGACGGTGGAAGTATCTGCAAAGGTCGACAAGGCGTGATTAAACTCAGCACGGAAAGCAGATAATAAAGATACGACCTTTCTGCGAAGCCGTGCCTGCCATTTGTCCTCCTCTGTGACTGTGTCGGTTGCAGTGTTGGGGGCAGGATGCCGCTGCTCTGGGTCAGGGTCACCTGTCACCTTGGCCCGGCATGCCCCAGTCACATCCACGCAGTACAAAGGTCGATGCACCTCTGGTACCCACTTGAAGCCCTGAAACTGCGGTCATTCCGAACTTTACCCACGCTCCTTGCAGCCTTGCCGCGAAGGTGCGGAAGAAGTCGCGCAGAAGACGGTGCGACGCGGCCACCGAAGGCCTGCTGGAAACATACGCATCAAGATGCACTTAGCACAGTCATGATCGTAGAGGCACCCAGGTAGTGTGCACCTCTCATGTTTCAGGGCAGCATAAGGAAGGGCTGGGCCGCTGTGCTGACAAAAGCTTGTCAAGTTGGAACAACCTATACAGATTCTGTTGTCGAACGAACGCAATAACCGGTGGTTTTCTGAGTGGTGAGGGGCTGAGAATGGTAGCTCGATGAACCGCTGAACAGTGCTTGCTACTGCACTGGCGGGGCATAGTGAGCATGTAGAATCTGCAACGACAGCAATGTGACTTGCCAAAAGTCTCTGCAAAAATCACTGCGGAGGAAGGGGTAAGGCTGGAAGTGCTGCTACCTCTCTACATCTTACCTCAGGCCTCCCGTATCCTGGCGAAGGGGTCACGTCCACGAGGTACCTCGGTCTGATGCTTGCGCCACTCAACTACAATATACTCTAATATACTATAATAACGGTTTAGGGTTTAGGGTTTAGGGACGCAGCCTTGCTGGCACCCAGCCCAGCATTGCCGCCGCCTACCCCTGCAGTCGGTGCACAAGGCTCCTAGAGCCCCAGACCATGTACTATAATATACTCTAATATACTATAATATACCTTGCAGGACACTAGCGGCACACACGAAAGCGCAACACAACACAAGCACACAGCAAGTGACATGTAGCAAGAACGTGGTTCTCTCCACTCTCCCTTCTTTCTGGCCCCCCCCCCCCGGGCTTCCCCCCCCCCCCCCCCCAGCACACCATCTAGTCTAGCGGCGTTACGCGCGCGAAGGAGGAGGGAGAGAGAGAGGAGGAAGGAGAGAGGGTACCGACCTAGCAGCCTTTCTAGCCCCGGTGCGAGTCCGGCGGTTTAGCACGCCCTGCGATCAAGGATGACTGCTAGCGGACCCTGTCGAGGGTTCCCCCGGGGCCTCGTCATCTTCCGAGTTAGCAAGCGAACCTTCGCTAGCGTCTCCTTACTCTAATATACTCTAATAGTCTATAATATACTATAATATACTCTAATATACTATCTTATACTATCCCTAAGCGTCACTGTACATCCGAAGGGCGGAGCCCAAGCAATGTGGGGTTGGCCATCACGAATCTCCTGGCGGTAGCAACAACTGTGCATGACTCTGCTTGCCGTACATTATAGCCTCACACCAGCTACTGCACGTATGGTCTGGTGTTAGTCTTTTCATCGTGCTGGGACGTCCTCGTACTCTTCAAAGAGGAAGTCCACGCCCAAGATCTCGAAGCATCGTGCCTCAGAACAAGGCCATTTCTCATCCAACAACGCTCTGCATGGAGCCACAGCACAATTTGCAAACAATGCTAGGCAGTAGTGCCAAAGAGTGGAAGCTCAGAGAAATCTGTCGTATCTTTCCTTGTTCTCTCGGCATAGCAGACGAGTCGAGCCCCAAGTGTCAGGTCCTTTGGGCCAATGGCCAGCCGGATGCGAAAACTGGATTTAGATGGCTACTACAAGTAACGCACACCGACAAGCATCTCGCAGAGATTGTCTGTCTTCCTTACTTCCTTCCGTCGGGGCTGGAACCCAGGAGTTTCACCCGCGCCTGGGCCTAGGCGCCCCAGGGATTCTGTCTCTCTCACTCTTTGTGTCTTTCTGAGATTCTCACTCTCTCTCTCTCTCTCTGCCAGTTTTTTTTTTGTTTTTTTTTTATCTCTCGCTCTCTTGCCATCCTTTTCAGTTCTCCTCCAGCACAAGCCATCGTTCACAAGTCTTCGTTTCCCAAACACCACAGCCTTCAAAAAATCTACCCACGATGAAGCTGAGGCTCTCCTCCAAGTAGGGACTGCAGTCTCCTGAAGAGGTCGGAATGCCGGCTGTGGTGGCCGGCTGCGAGAAGCATCACCACGATGCTGTGGTGCATTCCTGCTGTCACAGTCACGGCCAAAAAACCACGTTGCTGCTGGCTTCCTGTTTGGCTTGCAGTAGTTGCTCATTGAATACTGAATAGCATGCTGCCAACAGTTTAATCGGGAGCATGAAGCTCAGGTTGCGGAGCTCAACAGTAGCACCCGCCCAAGCGAGATGCTCCGGATAACATCTCATCGCAGGACCCCGTATCAGCACGCTGACGTAAGTAGTGTCTCCATATGGTAGTTGTCAAAACTAGGGTCCATAATTGGGTACCGCAGTACTAGAATAGGGCCATAGGGACCCATCAAAAAAGGACCGTATTTTTGACAACCACCCATATATCTCCATTGACAGAGGAGCTGCGACGAAGCAGCGCTTCTGGATCGGCACCAGTGAGATTCCGATAAAGCCTTGCAAACCTGAGTGGAGGGCTACACTCCCTGCGGGTACCTCTCTCCAGCCTAACACCGACCTGACACAAAGTCACCGTGAAGTCCGCCGCAGAGTCAAAGCATGAATCACACACCTTGAGGGTTCCTTTCAGGGCTCCTTTAAGAGTTCTATAAAGGTTTAGGGCTCCTGAAAATCAAACACCCGCAGACGAACTTTCGAGGTAAAAGACTCGCCCTGGGAGATCTGCCTGTCGCCATAGTTCGTCACAAACTCCTGGGGTTTCGGGTTCAGGGGTTTCGACTCACAGACTCGCACGAGGCAGGCACCTCTCACCAAAGCAACAGCTCTCTACAACTGCAAGCGTGAAACAGGATTAAACTTTGTTTAAAGGTGCGACAGGGGCCTTAATATCGCAATTAGGATAAGGTTTTGGGGTTTGCTTTAGTTGGAACAAGGAACCCTAAGGAATGATTACAATATGCTGGTAATCACTCAACTATTTTTTTTTAGACGCCCCTTGTCCGTCTGGCAATCACTCAACTTTAGCTGCTTGGGCTCCTTGAGCTCCAGGCCGAGAGGCTCTTAGGCTGACACAAGCTAAGTGTAATGTAGGAACCTGACTAAGAAACCTTGGGCCTTTATTTGGGTTCCTTTCAAGGGTTCTATAAGGGTTACTATAAGGGATCTATCAGGGTACTATAATAATTTAGGAACCTGATTAAGGAACCTTGGGCCTGTATTGGGGTTCCTTATATGAATCCTACTATCTAGTTTTGGGGTTATAGGCCCAGGGTTTCCTAATCAGGTTCCTACATTAGACTGCAAGTACAAAGCGAGATTGATGGAGTAGCCGGCCGTCTAATGTAGGAACCTGATTAAGAAGCCTTGGGCCTTTATTAGGGTTCCTTGTATGAATCCTACCATTTTGGGGTTATAGGGCCAGGGTTTGTTAATCAGGTGCCCACATTATATTGTAACCAGAGCTTGTAGGGGCTGCGGGTGCGGGGTTATGGGGTTTAGATGAAGCTCGGTATGCGATGTAGGTCCATATTCAATTTGCAAAAGTTCGCTAACTCAGACGCAATCAGCCTCGTCTTGCTGCGGCGTGCAAACCCCAGAGGCGTGAGAACCTGGGCAGCACGATTCCACAAAAACACGAAAACGAATGGGTTGATCGGAACATCTCTGCCTCGGGAGGCACGCAGGTAAGGCAGACACAGGAGCAGCTGAACCGCAATGAACCGCAGCAATGACAACAAGAAGGACAACACGTGCAGCAAAGAGGGTTGAAAGCACTGTCTCACGGTCCAGAGGACAACTTCCACCATGTGGTGAGCCTGGTTTTTGTCCCATGACCAAAGGCTTCATGTTCCAAAGCCATTTCGAGGGGTCAAGTGTCAGAAAAGCCTGTGCCGTGATGTTATCACCTGGCATGACTCAGCACTGCAAGTAGAGATTCATCGGTGCATTGTCTTGGGGGATGATCATCCCGGTTGGGCTCTCCTCAAGATCTTGGTTGGTTTGGGGCTGGCAGGTCAGCAAAGAAGAAGAGAGGTGGGGTTGCTGATGGTCATAAAGTTTTAAATGCAGGACAAGTGACAAGATCCTCTTTCGACAAGCTTCTCGCTTTCAGCACTCTGAGAGGAGGAAGCAGCTTTTCTTGCGAGAACAGCATAGCCTCCATCATCGTCGTCGTGATGGACATACACCTTCCGGCTATTTCCAGGTGCAGCTCGCTAGGCATCGACTTGTCACGCTGTGATATGTGTTCCTCTGCGGCAGGGGTTGGCTGTAGGAATACCAGCCAATTTCCCAAGCTGAAAGCACAAGCGCCTCACTGCTTGCACTTGGCACTGCTACTCTTTGAGAACTTTGCCCCTCGATTCCGATTCCGAGAAAACCTGGAGCTGCAGACTGCATCACAGGAGCCCGCAAGGGGTGAAGCGAGGTCAGCCCTGCATACAGCCGGAAGTGGAAGCGGCGGCCCTCAATCAGCGGAGACCGGATGCGCCGCTGGACCAAGAACCTTAGGCTCGTCCCTAGGAAATAACTTCAGCATGCAGAAGCTCAGTAAGCCTAGCGTAGCAAATTCCTAAGATGGATCAATGGCTCATGATCCGTGCTAAATTACCAAAGGAGCCCGGGACATCAGGGACAGTCTCCTGCTAGCTGCTAGACTGTGCAAACACCGCTCACGGCTAAAGCTAAGGCGACGTGATGGAAAGCAAGTGATCGCTGCACTATACTTCCATGCAACAAAATTGCTGCTTGCTGGGCGATCCGTCCCGCCGGTGTAAACTTCCGAAGAACCTGCGCTCACCAGAGTCGCTTAGTCAAGCAGGAAGCGTTGTGCCGTGACCTGCTCGAGCAAGGAGGTTCGATAGATCACCCGGAGATCGCAGTATCCTCACATTCTAAAGGGAAGGTTTTTAGTCACTGGGCAAACCACTTGATATCCAGGGCCTGCAGAACTCAACACCACAGCCAGAAGTGCCTATGTAGGCACCCCTCACGGTCTACCAGGCTTTATGCATCTTCAAGCTACATGGGTAGTTCTCTAAATTAGGGTCCCCTGTAGGTCCCAAGATATCGTGCTAAAGAGGACCCTAACTTAGATAAACACCAATGTAGTACCCTTATAGCAACCCTTAGAGATCCCTTTGTGGGAGCTTCAGTCAGACCCGAAGAGGTTTCCCCAATTCCCTGACACGGATCGTAATGCTGCGGCCCCCAGAGGAGTGACACGCTTTGGCCACCTCGGCAGCCAAAGGGAGCCAGGGCTGAGAATGGTGTCATGCATGCAGTGCACATACTGATATCAGTACCATCAGAATTTCCTCTTCTTCCTTCATCAAGCCTCGAGTGTTGATACTGCCATTCCAAACGAAGTCGTCGCAGTAGTAGCAGCTGTCGTTGTCGTCATGGCGGCGGTGGTAGAATCAGTAGTGGGTGCAGTGTTGTAGCAGCAGTAGTAGTGGTGTCTACGGTGTCTAAGTCTTGCTCTTTAATAGTGTTGGTCCTCGTGATAGTGGCAGTAGTCGTTACAGATTTTAGAAACCATAACAACAACTACAAACAACGCACTTCAAGCGACGCGTTCTCCATTTTGTAGTTGCTTCGTCGGGAATTGAGAAAGCCTCCAACAGGGCCGAGAGACCATCTCCTTCTTCTCTGACAGCTTCTTCGTCACAGTCTCGGCTTCATCCAGCCCCTTGCTACCCACCATGACGATGTAGCCTGGTGTCTGGGATTTGTCGTCTTTGACCGTTCAATCCGGCTGCAGCCATCCTTGCTGTGGTGGGTTCCCATCGCGATCAAGCTCTAGAGGTCTATCCTGCTGCGACGACTGTTATGGTGTCAGTGGCTTGAATGATGCATAATGGCCTGGCCATGTACCCTTTAGTAGCTAGGGTCCCAAATTAGGGAATCTACTTTTTAGATCCTCCCGGGGGTCTGGTATGCTTGGTGGCCGATCAATGGGGCAGGAACACCAGTTTTGCCGGAGAGCTCTCTGGGAAGCAAAGCCCTGCGAAACATTCATCTTCCTTAGATAACACGCGAATAATCGCAGCAAGTAGTAGTATGTAAGAATATTCTAAGAATCATGGCACTACTAATCTCAATAGTCATAATATTGCCGGGATCAGTCCTGCAAGAGCCTTGCACTTTGCGGGCACTGTAACCTGAACACACTGCCTCACAAGAATCCAGCCGAGTATCTGGGTTGACGAGGAGGCTGGAGCCCGATGCTGCCAAGTGATCCCTCATCCAAGCATGGCTTAGAAGGGGCCCCCACCATGTAATAGTGGTAGAATAGGAATATAATAGGGCCCTAATATAATCCTTATAGCCACTATTACAGGGTGGGGGCACCTTCTAAAGCATGGCGAACTGTAAGACTGCAAGAGGTGCAGAGCACAAGCCGATTCTGTTCCAGGGTTTCTTCATGATCTGATGCCACGTGTAGGGATCGCTCAGAGAACTCACAGAGGTTTTTCTGACGCAGCCCCACCTCAGCTTTCGAAGACTGATCGCCAAGTGATGCTTCCTAAGATGCCAAGAATCTTGAAGGCACTATCCTTGTTCCAGTGTGACATAGTGTGACTCATACGTTGTCTGTCTGTTTGGCGTATTGCTTATTACGAAGACTTGTTACAATCGCAAACAACAGCTTCAACTCTCCACCACCAGAGGTCGCAAACTCTCTGACTCAACTCAGAGGGTCGGACCCACGGGGGCGCCGTGGAAGGTGAAGCCTGCAGCAGTGGGCTCTTTGCAGTGGGCGATCTCTTATAAGACAGGCGCTCACAGCTGCGTTCCGTTGGGAACCACAGACCCTCTCACGAAGTTCAGGGTGTGAAGACAGTGGCTCCTTTCTTGGGAATGAGTCCCTGCTGTCCGAAATTAGGCCCCTAGAACCCTCGAAGCTCGTTCTCCGGTGCGGACACGTAGCAGTGGTTATGCGTCTGATGCGCGCGGGCCCGTGCGAAGTCCCAGCTGGGCAAGTGGGACCCTGACGACTTTGTGTATCATAGGGCCTTGATGATTAGAATAGGGTTTTGTGTCCATTTTTCTATAAATTTCGTAAGGAACCCCCCAAAATAGTATGGGTAATTATTTGGGCTCCCATATCAGGGTCTCGGGGGCCTCGGGGTGTGGGTTGGAGGTTTCGGAATGCAGGGGAGGCTACAGCTAACTCTGATCTGCGGTCTTGAGAGCTTCACCTTCAACTTCCTGGGCCACCCCCCCCCCCCCCCCCGCCCCAATGCACATGAACCCGACTCTAACCTGGCATGAATCCCGAATCCCCCCGACAGGCAGTGCTCTACTGACCGTTGACAAATAAGAAGCGTGTAGCATCAGATGCTCTCGACACAGCTGCTCTTCCAATGATCTTAGAGGCAAGGCACGGTAGAAAGACCAGTCTATTGGGATGCCCAGGAATGCAGCCCTGGGCCAAGGTGGACAGGCAGGAACAGCGATGCAAGCCTAACTAGTCTGAAGATGTTTCCAGGATTTTCACGCTTCTGCGGCCGAGGGGCAAATCAACAGAGCGGCCGTGCTGGGGCATCAAACTCCATAGCACCTCGGCTGCTTTGACCATCCCCTGATGTAAGTGCAGCATCGATCGGACAGCTTTGCAGCCCCAGTGCGAAACACTAGACTCACTAGACATCTTGAGATGATGTCTGCATGCCTGAGAAACGACCTACCTTATTTCAGATGCTCATGCAGCTCCCGGCAAGATCAATGCCAAGCTGGGATGCAGACATCCCAGTCACCATCACTTGCAAGGGTGTGCGTGCTGCCAGGGTTGTCCAGCTCGTTGAAGCCTCGTCCAAGTCTTGCGATCACGAGCTTTGGAGTCTTTTCGCAGAAGGCTTTCCCGCAGTCTATCGCCCTGTAGCTGGAGATCTGCCAAGCCGAGGCACCCAGGTCTTTCCATGCTGCCAGGATAAGGCCCACATTCATCCTAGTTCGGAGCTCGGGGATGTTTTGGAGCTTCGAGTCATGGAGACAACTCACCCACTGATGTGTCACCTGGTGTCGGGCTTGAGGTTTCTTGGGACTCTCCCAGGGGCGCTTCAGGCTTCAGAAGGAAAACCTTCCGGCCGTCTGCAAAGGTGAACCAAAAAAGGATGAGATCACATGAATTTCGCATCGATGCCAGGATGGGCCTTTGCATTCACGACAATTCGTGCCGGCAGCCAATAGCAGCTGCAGCAGCTGTAGTAGTGGCAAAAGCAGCATGGGCAGCAGCTGCTCCAACAGTAGCAGTAATAAAGGTGGACACGAAATCGCGGTCGCTGTAGGCGTCTTAGTCTTAGCCGCAGAAGATAAGAAGCACTCTAAGACTAGCAGTCACTGCGTTCGCAACAATAAGTAGTGCACGGAAGAGTTCTTCATAACCCCGAGCTCTTAAGGCTCAATGACAGCTGCAGCCGAAGGGCTGGTCATCCAGGGAGAGCAAACGCCGGGGTTCGTTGACCACCAGTGGCCAAGGCGCTTTCGGCGCCAAAGTCTGCAGAAAGTACCTCCAAATTTCGAAAATTACCATGCATTCAACTGTCAAGTGAGACCACAGGACAGCAGGACATAAGGAACAGTTTTGTTGTTAAGTTATTTCGAGGGTTGCAGGTCGCTAGCTTCCCGAAACTGCTGATCCTTCTCCTGCCGCTACCAGTACGAGTACTAGTACACTGGTGGAAGCATAAGTATGACGACGACTGCCACTCTTCTTACGACTTGGGCTGCTGCGGCTACTGCTACTGGTGCTAACCTTTTAGGGTTTATGCTCTCGCAACTCATTAGGGTTTAGGGGTAAGTACTGCTAGCTGCACGTTTCTACCTACGACCTACACCACCTACTAACTACTACCACTACTTCTACGACGACGACTACCACCAGTACTACTAGTACTAGTACTAGTGCTAGTACTAGTACTAGTACTAGTAATGCTACTGCTACTGCTACTACTACCACTACCACTACCACTACCACTACTACTACTACTACTACTACTACTACTACTACTACTACTACTACTACTACTACTACTACTACTACTACTACTACTACTAGCCACCACCCCCCCAACTACACTTGTTCCATCCGGGCTGGGCAGCGGTAGCTGCTAGGCGCCTTAACTGCGATAGTTGCAGAAGATGCACGGGCTCAGGCTCCTTATCTGTGACAGCTGCAGAAGTTGCAGAGGCTCAGTTTCCTTAACTGTCACAGCTGGTGAAGTTGCAGGGGCTCAGGCCCCAAAACTGCCACAGCAGCTGGAGTTGCAAGCTCGACGGGGAAGAAACTGATAAACCCCAGGTGGTCCGATTGTACGAAAACGCTGTAAATACCGTGCAAAACCCAGGTGCTGCCAACAAGGGTTTAACGTTTCTAAAACCTGAAGCGCAACATCTTCTGAACCTCAAAAACAAAGATGCCAGCTGTACGTGGGAGGGGCTCGCCAACACCCATACCGCCCAACCTTTGCGTAGGAGGGTCTGTTTTTGAAATGGTGTGTGTGGTGTGTGCGCGCTTGAGTGTGGAAATATTGTTCAGGGTGTCCGCAAAACAGTGTCGTGATCATCCCCGAAGAAGCTTTCCCCCACCCAATTTCGAGTTTTTGTTGCAAACAGTTCCAAAGAGCAAAGTTTAATACGCATAGTCGAGAACTAGGGGCTCAGAATATGTAACAAAGTCTGACATCACGAAAGTACCGTAAATACCGAGTTAATCGGCTCTTGTGGTGATACTGCTGGGTGTGTTCGCGTGACACTGTCGTCATCATCCCCCCCCACCCCCCCACCCACCCCCAGAAGCAAGTCCAAAATCAAGAGCCCGAGTTTGCAAACTCGACAAATCGATTTTTGGGCCTCTTAGGATGATCGCACATGACGAAAGTGCCGTAAATACCGAGTAAAATGAATGTTGTCTTAACATGGTTGAGAGCAAGTGTAGTTGGTAGGGGGGGGTGCCTACTACTACTACTACTACTACTACTACTACTACTGCTACTACTACTGCTACTACTACGACAACTATTGACTACCAAGCACTAACTAATGCTACAATAGCAGCAACAACAGCTACTACCACTACTAACTACTAGTTGCTACCTTTACTACTTACAATGTACTACCTACTACTCACTATTCACTGCGTACTAGTTACTTGCTACTATTATTAGGTACTACGTACTGCTCTCTACTTGCCAAACTATTTACTACCTACTATACTACTACTACCACCACTACTACTACTACTACTACTACTACTACTACTACTACTACTACTACTACTACTACTACTATTACAACAACTACTACTACTACTATTACAACTACTACTACTACTACTACTACTACTACTACTACTACTACTGCTGCTGCTGCTGCTGCTGCTGCTGCTGCTGCCTCTGCTGCTGCTGCTGCTGCTACGGCTACTGCTGCTACTACTCCTGCTGCAGCTGCGATTAAGACGAGTACAAATACTACTACTACTACTACTACTACTGCTGCTGCTGCTGCTGCTGCTACTGCTACTGTTACTGCTACTGCTACTGCTACTGCTACTTCTACTGCTACTGCTACTGCTACTCCTACTACTACTACTACTCCTACTCGTCGTCCTGCTGCTGATGCTGCTACTAGGACTAGTACAAGTTCTACCACTACAACTAGTACTGCTACTGGTACTACTACCACACCGCCACCGCTACCACTACGACGACGATGGCTACTAGTTCTACTTCTGCTGCAACTTGGTCTTTCCATGGTAGGTGCCATTACAGGATATTACAGCCAGGGTGACGATAGAGAGTAGTATCCTGGTTTTCACAATGGTCTTCTTGATGCCACCGACCACGATGACTTTGGCAGGTCATTTGCACTTTTCCGTGCGGCTTTTCCACATCCGTTATGCCCGTTACTGAGTCATGACCTGCACTGTGGGGTGGCTGCATGGCTTGAGGATTATGCTGTGTGATATATGTGGCCTCTTCTCCCGTGCCGCATCTTGGGCCAATGACAGCAGTACCTCCTTGCAAGGCGCGGGTCGTCCCACCTGGCATGCAACACTCGTACTAGGTCCGAGCTTCTACCTCATGCACAAGACATGACTTCACTTCGTGCAACCAGAATGACTAGCATGATTGGACCTGGAAATTTGGGGCTTTGCAGCAGAATCCGCACACAGGGCAATCGCAGAAGCAGGGCCCAACACAATCGGCACCTGGTCACTGAACGCGTCCTCGCAGGTGCGGGCTGATATGTGTGTACCTACATATGGGGTTCTGATCATTCCTTGGGCCATGTCTCAGGAATATTAGGCAGCCGTCGGAATGGCGGCATCTAGATTACAACCTCCACACGGGATTGCGAAGCTTCTTCTGACTTCTTCTATTCTCACAACTGTTTGTTCGATAGTTGAACATCCCCCGCGAAAATTAGCCTGCGAATTCCCAGCATCTTGGAATAAGTCTTGCAACTCAAAATGTCACCACGAAGCCGTCGCACTCCTGGCTTGCCGACGCCACAACGGACATGAAGTTCCAGTTGCCTGGCATGTCTCGAAGCGTCTAGCGAAGTGTTTCCAAGAGGAAAAAGGGTGCTAACAAATCTGCGCGTGCCGTAATGTCCTCTTCCTCAAGGTGGAAGAAATACGGCGTCTGTTTTTAAATATACGGATATTTAAATAGGTTAAACAGGTATATTACACTACCTCCGTGAAACATCGCCCGGGCCCGCCTCGAAATAAAATATCCGGAGATTGGCAGATGATTCGTGGGTTTGGGGTTTAGGACTTTGGGGTTTAGGGAACAAAGGTTTAGTCTTCGGGTAGGTGCTCAAGCCTTCCAGCCTTCCTCCCCAGCCCTCCAGCCTTCCAGCCTTTCCCAGCCCTCCAGCCTTCCTCCAGCCTTCCAGCCTTCCAGGCTTCAAGGGCCTCCAGCCTTCCAGCCCTCCAGCCTTCCAGCCTTCCAGCCTTCCAACCCTCCAGCTTTCCAACCTTCCAGCCCTCCAGCCTTCCAGCCCTCCAGCCTTCCAGCCCTCCAGCCTTCCTCCCTTGCCTTCAAGCCTTCCAGCCTCCTTCCAGCCTCCTCCAGCCTTGCCGCTTCCCAGCCAGCCTCCATTCCAACCCTTTAACCTTCCAACCCCCAGCCCCAGCCCTCCAACCAATCCGGCCAGAGTGATGTCGGCCAGATTAATGTCACGATTCTTGAGGCCAGACAACGCAAGGACAGCGATTCCAACCTAAACCCCTAAAACCTAAAACCCTAAACCCTACTAAACCTAAACCATGTTTTTGAACAAGGTCTCTCTGAAGCCTGAACCCCAGACCCCAAACTCTAAACACTGAAACCTGAACCTCTAATCTCTAAATCTCTACGTGCCCTAGAACTCTAACCCGTTTAAATGCCGCGCCCGCAACCATTGGAGCGATGGAAGCCTGGAAGGCTGAAAGGCTGGAGGGCTGGAAGGCTGGAGGGCTGGAAGGCTGGAAGGCTGGAAGGCTGGAGGGCTGGAAGGCTGGAAGGCTGGAAGGCTGGAGCGCTGGAGGGCTGGAGGGCTGGAAGGCTGGAAGGCTGGAGGCTGGAAGGCTGGAAGGCTGGAAAGCTGGAAGGCTGGAAGGCTGGAAGAGGCTGGAAGAGGCTGGAAGGCTGGAAGGCTGGAGGGCTGGAGGGAGGGCTGGAGGGAGGGCTGGAGGGAGGGCTGGAGGGAGGGCTGGAGAGCTGGAAGGCTGGAAGGCTGGAAGGTTGGAGGGCTGGAAGGCTGGAAGGCTGGAGGGCTGCAAGGCTGGAGGGCTGGAAACCCCTCAAACTCTAAACCCCTTCCAGCCTTCAACCCTCCAGCATTCCAGGGTATACTGGGATTTAAATTAATATGCGGATTTAAACAAATATTTTATACTACCTCTGCGGCCAGTGCGGCTGGCCGGGTCCCCATATATTTAAAAAACGTCACCGTGCCAGCATATTGGGCAACTATGGCGCGTTCACATGCAGCGGTCGATGTGCTTCCATCTATGTAGATGCACGGTTGCCTTCGCCACCAACTTCGGAAGGGTTCTATTTGTTTCTATGTGTACATGTTTCCTATTTCTCTTTATAAAGGGTATGCAGATGTGTGTGTCAGTACGTGTGGGAACGCACAAATGCATAAGACTCTTCTCAATCACGGTCTGCATCTAGGCATCTCGAACAAGAAAGGGAAACATCTTGATAAGCGGACAGAAAGGCACGGACTTTCGCTGCGTCCGGCGCTTCTGGTGAGGCAGATCAGATCACAGTGTTCAAGATTACAACTTAGATCTCCCTACGTACTTATTTTTTGAATCTGTACTGAGCCGGACGCGCGTGTGACGAGAGAGAGCGTTCTCCGAACTGCTCACAGCAACAACATCAACGAAACCCTGAACATGTTGAGGAAAGCTTCAATCGTGAAGAATTTGTGGTGACAAGAGGCAGAATCGCTCCACTGCCGCGATTGCAGACTCATTGGCCTTTCGGTGGGAAGGACGACTCACCAGCTTTGCTTTAACGGTGCCCAGTTAGACTTAGACAAGGTTCCGAGTCGACGTGAAGGGACGAGATTGCTTCGGGAGCTTAGGGCTTCTTGTTCTGTGAGTGCTTGCTCCGTCCACCTATGACGGTACGTGAACCCTCGACGTCATCGCATGTTCACCAAGTTTGAAGAAACTTTCGATCCAAATGCTAAGAACCCAGTGCGAGTCATGTGCTTGCGTAGGTACATTGTAGTGTGCGGCATCCTTGCCGAGCATGGTCCCGGACTCACTAGGGCTGGATCGCAGGGTCAACGCTGAAGTAAAACTACAGACTCATGGTGTGTCTGCGAGCTGGTTTTGGCACTCGCACTCTACAGCGTCAGGCGAGGTCACGACTGCAGCTCGCTTATCTCGAGCTCATTTTGGGCCCGTTTGCCCATGCAACTCTCAGCTTCAGGCAGGCAGCACTTCCAACTTCAAGTGAAACATGCGAATTCCCTCCTTCCATGCATCCGAGATCATCCGAGTGCATCACTCGAACACTCCAGACTCTCGTAGACAAACTTAAGGATGATGAGATCAAACCATACAGCCCTTGCGTATGCTTGGAGTGTCTGCTCATGTCTGCTCACTCAGGGGCGTAACGCCAGGCCCCACAGGCCAGTCTGATGCAGATCTCCAGGTCGTGAAATAGTCCGCGGCATCCAGTTGCATCCCGCAAGGTCTGTGGAGTAGTCTCCAGCATGCTGGAACTAACCATACACTGCATCGGAGCTGCCCTGAAGGACGTGCTGAATCTAAAGAGCGGCCTCATGTGGAGCACGTGGGCGTGCTCTCATGTCCAAACTCGCACTTGTATCACAGAGATCCGAAATCGCAGATCTGCCCAAGCCATGCAGGCAGAAGTATGTCTGTCCACGGTACAACTATACATAGCTGATCCCAACTCCAGTTGGAGTCATGCAATGTCTCAATGAGGTGTTGGCCGATTTGGGGCAGAAGGGTTTTGTTGTCCCCGCCGAGTCGGTATGCTGGTCCACGGTGCAAGTTGTCAGATAGCTAGTGGTGGCGCAGCTGCCACCCCTAAACCCTAAACCCCCACCTCCGGGCACGGGCGCCAGCCATAGCTAAACACAACTGAACTTACGTTCGGCTTGAGCCTGTCAGACTCCAAAGTCTGGCTCGTGTACTTGGAGGTTCATGGGTAGTTATAAAGTGGGGCTATAAGTCCTCTAATAGGGCTTATAAGTTTAGTTACCCTACTTATGATCGTACTTATAACTATCCATGAACCTCCAAGTAGTAGATAGTAGTATCAGTCAAGTGGGCACGGTGGCATTTTCTCCTCAGCAGGCCATTCTGCAGCGACGTCCGATGGCGTCTAGGCTCTAATTATAACAGCATAAAAGCAGGGCTTTGCCATGAAAGAGCCTCCAAGCAGACCTCAGCAAAACCTCTCAAGCAATTCGGCACATTGCGGGAGGCTCTACTATGCCGCTGGGAAGGGCGCAGTGAAGCCAATCTGTGAACCATGGGTAGCTGTCGAAGTCAAAGTACTACCTGTAGCAGGAAGCAACCTTGGGATCTACGTAGCATAACATGGCCGCGGGATGGCTTCATGGCTCCATAAGCACAAAACCGAAGACGCCGGTGCGCTCACAGCATCCCGAAGCTCGGGGTATACCGCCGCAATTTCATAATACAAGCAACTTGTCAAGCGAACTACTGGTCTTAACAAGTGTCCAACCACAAAGCCGGGAGCACACTTTACTCTAGCTCCGAATTAATATGCAATTCCAAAATTGTGAACTACGCTGGAGCCTTCCGAAAGGCTGATTGCTCTGGAGACTCTTCAGCAAGGTACTGTGCCGCCTGTCCCGGGTCGCGACTCTGGGCGGTAACTCCCAGCTGCGCCAGACGAGGCAGCACGGAACACATGCGAGACATGGGACTCTCCGAAGATAGGCGACCCTACTATAGTACCCGAAATAGTAGGATCCTTACTATCTAATATTCGGAAACTCCCACATGCTGCCAGATAGGGAGCAGAAAATCGTCAGCACCGGCGAAGCTCCCGATCGGCTTCCAACAAGAATAGTTACATATTATCAAATACTATTAATGTTATATGAATATAGTATTAATACAATGTTCCGTCAAAGTCTGTGACAGCACTTAAATGGCTCAAACGTGGAATGGCTGCTCCGTCACACTCTCATCAACAAAGGAAACATTCTCACCAAGGCGTCGATTGGAGCCGGCTGGGTTCCAGTAGATCGTGTTCGGAGAAAAGTAATCGCCCTTGGGAGCCTTGCATTTGTTGTTGGCCATGTTACTGGCAAAGGTCGCAACTTTGTTAAGATCTGCGATGAGGCCGGCAATGTTTGCAGAGCAGGCAGGTGTGTAGATCTGGTACATCGTGCACTTCGAAACAGCACCAGCAAGAAAGGACGCCATTGACGCGAAGGAGATCAGGGCACTAGTGACACTCGCCGCACATCCCGCCTTTGAGTTCTGCCCGGAGCAGTCCCCATTGGCCAAGGCATTCACGTCGAGACCCGCTCTGCCGGCGAAGAATGCTGCCTGATCAGCATTCAGAATGCAGTTCGCCATTCCTGCGTCATCGTTCACGCTGATAGGATTGAAGATGGTCGCACCATTTTCAATCTTTTCTGCATCGCAGGCTTGCGAGACGCCGGCAGAGTGGCCCACGAGGCCACCCAGGCCACTGAGAAGAGTGGCAATGGGAGCCGCACACCCGGCTCGCCAGTTCCTGGGTTCTTGTTGAGGAATTGACTGTAAGTTACCATAATAAGGAAACCGCATCATTTACCCAATTATGGTGACTTGATTTAAATCCCTTAGCAAGAGCTGCTTCAAGAGCCCAGATTCACATTGTCGGTGGGACAGTTCAACGCCACCTCGGTGAGAAAGGCGGCAGTCCCGGAGAGTGTCGCTAAACTGTTGCCGATGTTCGCTACGCAGGCCTCTGTCTTCTCCTCCATGCACAATAATAATAACTATACTGGCAAAAAACAATATTCATAACACATACTGATAGGAATAGTAGTAATCATGGCAATAATCGTCTTCTCCTCCATGCCACCCCAGCCACAGGTGGCCACCGCTCCGTTGATGGACATTCCGGCCGATGCAAGTTGATGAGTGGCCAGGAGGGAGCTGAAGACACACATGGCAATGTCCGCCTTTCTGGAATTGCCTATGACGACAACCTTCCTCCCGTTGATATAAGTGACATAATCACCGTGGATTTTCTGCTTGATTCTCTCAATCTCTTTCGCGGTTTCTGCCAAGCTGGCAAGACGCGGGGGTGCTGGAAGCACCGCCTCGACGTGTTCTGAGCTGTTGGAGGGGATCGAGGCTGTCTCCGTAAGACGCTGAAGCACCAGGAGAAAGCACAGGCAATGGCGGCTTCGCGCCATACTTCTGCAAGTGTCCCGTTAAAAACCCGCTAACCAATGTCAACTTGAGCCGTAGCCATTTTCGGAGTTGCCATTTACTGATGGTGTAATTTAGTATGTCGCCCCGAATCTTCAGATGCAGCTCCACATTAGCCTTTCAAAGCCCTGCGATTGGACTGCAGACTAGCTGGCTTAACAAACCAGTACCGATTCAAAGGCCCTTCCCCAGCCTGTAAACAATCAGTCCTTGACAGGCAAAGCAAAAAGCTCATCACCCGCACAGCTGTGGCTTCACAGGTGCCTTGATCGCGAGGGGCTTCGTGCCTTCCCCGGTCTTTGCGGTGATCGTCACAGGCAGGCCCAAATGCCTATGCAGCAAATGGGGCGCTGTGTTGACAGAAATTCCTGTTTCGGACACGAAGGATGCACGGATGAACTGCAGGATGTCTGGAGAAAATGACAAATAGTTTTCAGGATCCCATCGCGATGAAAACGCGGCGGCTCGGTCAAGATTTGTGCTTGTGGTGGTCGTGACTGCGGGGACGCGAACTTTGCAAAACGCGCCAGCCAGCATGAAATCGCTCGACCTGTTGCAGTAACGGCATTGGGATCGCAACAGCTGGCAAGGATGCAGAAATCAAGGGAAGACGATGGCCCAAGACGACTCATTAGCTAAGTGGGCTACCACAGCTGTGGGGCACAGGTGCCACGAAACAGCGACGACAGCAAGAAATCCGTCACAGAGATCACATAAAATTGTGCATCCGAGCTGCTCGACAGGATCTGCAGCTGCAGTGACGAGCACAGCTGCGGAGAGCGTGAGGAACCCCCAATGCATCAGCTGCCATCGCCATGGGATATCATGTCTCTGTGCCTGTATAGAGGACCTGCTATCTTGTGCTCTGAAGTTTCGGGGTGAGTAGAATCAAATGGATTCTTTTTCCTCGTGCCGAAGCCCTTTCAGTCAGTCGAAACCAACACGGTCCGTTTCTACCCTTACCTTCACCACTCCTTCACGGGCCCAAACAGCTCGGGTGCCCCCACCATGCTGTGAGATTGAAAGCTCAGTCTTGGGTTTGGGTTTCTACGTAAGGATTAATACAGGGTAAACCCTAAACCCTAAAACCCTTTTTTTAAGCACGGACTTGGAGTGTATGCCGGCAGCGAAGCTCTCTGGCAAAGCCTTCCTCAGTCACCTTAGGAGACCTCGGGGATGCACATATGAGCAACACAAGAACGATGAGAATCACTGACGAGTGATGCATACTACAAAAACCCTAAAACCCTAAACATATCTACGGCTTCTTTGTACCGTTCGATAGCTGTGACCTATACCGACCTCGCTAGCATCTTTAGGGTTTTGAGCTCTCAGTTTCGCACCCGGTGTAGGCAAGGCTTCACAACAACAGGTCCAAGAACTGACTTACATTCTTTCAGGTTCCATGCCTTCGGACAAATATAGGGTCCCTTCACAAAGAGAATAGGGTTTGGGGGCCAGAATACCAAATTTATAAAAGGGACCCACCGAAATTTTATTGGCGATCGTTTAGGCCCCTATGTTCACCCGTATTTACTTTAGTTCCAACTCTCACTTCATGCTCTCACTACTATGACAAGCCAGATCTCAGTTCAGGGTTTGGGGTTCTTTTCCCAAGACATCTCCCCCATAACCTGTTCGAATTAACACTAGTACGACCTCCCCTTTATCATATCACAGAACCCTGAAAGGAATCCAATCATAGCAACCCTTACCTGGAGACATCCTTTCTTCCTCGCCACGCGATAGGCCCACAAGGGGCGCCCGAATGCTCTCTGCCGCTTCACGGGGCTTCATCCTATCTTTGATGCTTGTGATGGGTTTATGTTTTTGCTTAACTCCGACTGGTTTACGGATTGACCCAGTCATGTGCGTTCCATATCACGACACTTGCTTTATGAGGGGCCCCAGAAGTGGATCCAAGAGATGGCCCTCCAAAGGAGCATTGGGCCACTGAAGCCGTGAAAACCTACGATTTTTCCGAGTGAGATTCGGGCCAGTTGGCCCGGACCTCACCAGATCCACAGTCAAGTACCAGAGGCATCTCGGAATGTCTTGCGAAGCGGGTTCAGGGAGTTGCTTTGCTTCGGGGCTCCGTTGGATCTGCCCGGCGCATAGCCGCAATGCAGCCATGCATGTAGCATTACAGTAGAGACTCAACGACTCATCGAAACTGCTTGAAGTTACAGTCGGGGAGTTCGGGGGTGCAATTGCGTGTGGCTTTGGGTTTTCGGGTTCTTGTGGCGGGTGTGTCAGCTCTTCACAGCGACCTAGGCTAGCAAATGGAAGCGCGCAACACCAAATCGCTGACGACTGTTGCGCAGTCTAGCAGTTGCTGCAAAAGGGACGGGGGATTCAGGTGGCGGGCACATCTATACATCCGAGACCATCCGCGACAACTCTGGTGAAGACCCTGGTGTCGACGAAACAGTTGGGAGAGTGCTGGTGTTTAGACTAGTGACTCGGGGCTACATCCTTCAGTTCAGAAGGGGAAGAAGTCGGATATCACTTCAGTCTCTTCAGAATCAGGCCCAACCCAGCACCGACTGAGAGCGTCTGGGTGACCCTTGGAGCTATGGTCTACGCGATCTTGACCCTGTGAGGTAGCATGGTGTCGAGTTCGATACAGAGGGATCGCTCTAGCAGGAATACTTGTGGTGCAGCGGAAGAGGAACGAAGGCAGAGCTGTCGATCTCACACATCGGAGTCCACCTGTTGTGAAAATCAGGGCGGTCGGAGTCGGGATGCATTCCACAATTCAACGGTGCAGAAAGAACGGGAACCCTGATAAGGATTAGGGATTCAGTGTCTGGGTGGAGGTTAAGGATTTGGGGTTTAGGCTTTGGAGCAGGGTCTGCTGTGCACCACTTGAAAAGCTCTTGACTCTTAAATTGTGTTCTAAGCAATGCAGCCTAAAGCGTGAACCTGATGCCGGCATTTCACAAACAACTGTCGCACAACCCAAAGGCAAACGAAGCTCCATCTTTTGACGTTTCTGCGCTCCGATCCACTGACAACGAGTGGGTGGAATGTGGCCACGGTTACTGTGAGTCGAGCGTTACGGAGCCTGGGTTCGCGGAAGCGTTTCGTGTGCATATGTAATTATACATATATGTGTGTGTGTGCGCATGCATGTATGCATGCATGAATGAAAGTGTGTCTGTATGTCGGTATGCTTGTCTGTCCGTCCTGTATGTATGTATGTATGTATGTATGTGTGTACATGTTGTGTGCTAATCACATGAACACATTATACACTAGGACATGATCATGTTCCTACATAAAGTAAATATACACGGTACAGTATGGACAAATGTGCACGCACGCACACACACACACACACACACACACACACACACACACACACACACACACACACACACACACACACACACACACACACACACACACACACACACACACACACACACACACACACACACACACACACACACACACAACCACACACACACACACACACACAACACACACACACACACACACACACACACACACACACACACACACACACACACACACACACACACACACACACACACACACACACACACACACACACACACACACACACACACATATATGTACATATACTCACGCACTAGCAGTCCATCTGTCTGCCAACATGCCTGTCTCTCTCTGTCTCTCTATGTCTGTATCCTCTGTTCATTGGTTTCTTCATGTATACCTGCAGAAGTTAGCAGCTCCCTTTTTGGTGCCCCCGGACCTTGTGCCAGGACGCAATGGTGGCCGGGTCCACACACGTCTCACTGCCTCTCACCTCTCTCATCTTCGTCTCTTCGACTTCGCCTTCTACTCAGGTGACCCTTGCGGCCCTGAGGTCTTGGAAAAGTCTGAAAGGGCTCGACACCGTTTCAATCGGGGAGCCCGCGAGGCCACCTGTCGTAGCATTCTGGGGCCTATCTCGCTGGGTCGAAGCACGCGGTACGGCACCGTCCTCGAAGTCTCCGCATCTGAGCTCATTTTGTTTGGTTGCGGTGGTTCCGAGGCTTTGCCTTACGTGCTGGCCCGCTTCAGGACGATTTCTGGCCGGTTTAGGTCTTTCTGCATACCTTGCAAAAGGGGCAAAATCTGCCTGTTACAGTTGTGGCTGCTTTGTTACGACGGTCAAGATGCTTTTGCCTGTCTTCGCCTCACACCTCTTGGCTTCGAAGACTAGCTTTCGGAACCGGCCATCCGTCGTACTCGTCGGGAGTCACATCATCCAATAGAAAATTCTAGGGCCACTTTGGTCCTCCGCAAGAAGTGCCTGCTGTTCTCTTCCTTGACCCGCGTTGCTAATTACAAGGTGGTGTGAAGATAAGCTCTCAGGTGTCCGCCTTTTCGTCGGCATGCTGCCAGCCCGTTCTGATGGGCATGGTGAGTGATGACATGTACAGTACTCGTGCCGCGTGGGCCGGTATCTTGAAAGCAGAATGCAGACATCCTGTGGCCAGGACATTGGCGAGCCTCTTCCAGGTCATATGCCGCTGCTGAGCAATCTCACTGACTTTTTTCAGAAAATCGTACATGATAGTTCGGCACAAACGTGCGCACTATGGAGGATGGGCTTGGGCACGAACATACACCAATACATCGGTGAGCAGACATTATACATGACAACACTCAGCATGACCGGCTGGGCAGCTTATCGAAGAGGCAGAGCTATATTATAATTATGATTATTATGATTATTATGATGATGATGATGATGATGATGATTATTATTATTATTATTATTATTATTTGGGGTTTGTGGCTTCGGGGTCGGCTGCGGGATAGCACAGCAACAGCTGTACGTGCTGCGCAGAAACGTCGAAACGGATCGTCAACCCCTGCCGCATGCTTGCGCACTGCCTAAAGCCACACTTGGCCGCTACATCCATAGTGCTTCGCTGCTCATCGTTCTGATTCCGAGGCCTTCTTCTTAAATTCATAAGCGGCTGAACAGTTGTGCATCGACTCA